TGTGTGTGTGTGTGTGTGTGTGTGTGTGTGTGTGTGTGTGTGTGTGTGTGTGTGTGTGTGTGTAGATCCCGGACTCGATCATTTCTCGAGGTGTTCAGGTGCTTCCACGAGATTCGGCCTCTTTAAGCTCCACCCCCTCCGAGTCACCCCGGGCGACACAGGCAACTTCCCGCCTTTCCACCGCTTCGTGCCCGACACCCAAGGTACAAACAAACCTTCACACATGCACACAGACAGCACCGCTAAGAGCTCGGCAACAAAAAACGCCCTTCTGCATGAAACACCAGCTTTCCTGTTTGTGCTGTGTAACGGTCATAGAGCATGCCCAGTAGATGTACGCTGATTGCTGATCGAAGCCCTTTATCAAACAATGACAAGCACTTCCTGCATGATGAGAGCTTTTAATTACTTTCTTTATTTCCTAACCTCCTCCGTTCACTTCATAGAACCAGAAAAATCACATTTGATTTCCTGGCATAAAAAGCTCCAGCTTCAGGACCGAGCCAATTTATGGTGAATAACAAACTCGGTGTGTTCGATTTCATTGGAGCAGAAAAACGAGTATTCACAGTTAGACTTGGTTCACGTGCCATTTTTTTCAAATATCAAATACTTTCTTATTGCCAGTATCTGAACAGATTACCATGTAATTTAAAAACACGCTAAGAAAAGTTTCTTCCTGTTTGTCCCGTGGCGTTCCCTAAGGTGCTATCCTGGGTCCTCCATTATTCCTTATATACTTGTTCTCTTGTATATGTTTCCATTTTTTGTTGTTGTTGTTGTTGTTGTTGTTGTTTTGTTTTTTTAAATCACTAGTATTTGAACTGATTGTAAAATTATTAAATCAATTACATATTCCCCAGCTTTTTGGTCACATGTTATTTAAATGAGCGCCACTAACTAATGTTAGCTTAGAAATAATTACCAAATGAACATCTCTCAAATATAAACTGTTCACACAGGGTTTAGATAAAGACTCTAGACAGCGAGTTAAGGTTAGCCAGCTATATGCTAAGTTGACTATGAAGTAGTTTGTGTGTGTTAGCAGCTAAGTTTATATTAGCTACCATTAGCCAAAAACCTGCCAATGTAATGAATAAAAAGCTGTCTAAAATGAAACCCTAAATACAAACTGATCTGGGAGCTATATTGGTTATTTTCATGTTTCTTTGTCAGTGAATATTAGCTAATCCTTACTAGATTCATGCACTGTAGCTAAGTCATAGCTTGTTGGCTAACTTTGTCTGAACTATGCCTGAAATGAATTAAATGCTAGGTGGCTAGCTTCCCAAAATCATTTACCTGTTAAGTGAACCATTGTTATAATTTACATTTTATATAAAAATATGATTTTTGTCAAAAATTAAATGATGTAACCGTTTAAATAGATAGCAAACTAGCTTAGAGCGAGCTTGGTTAGCTAGCTGGCTGTAACTTAGCTTTACAGCTTGTAGCAGACATTTATAACATCCAGGTCAGGTGTAGTGTGTGTATGCTGCTCAGTCAGCTGTTGGACAAACATACATGACGTACAGACCATACAACAGAGAAACATGACAAAGTTGGACAGTCTGTGCATGACTCGGCATATTTTAGATGCTAACGTGTTCTGAGCAACAGATGGGTTTCTGAGGTTTTATGCCTCACCTTTTAATTTTAACTTGTGAAACAAACTTACCCCCCCCCCCCCCCCGGTAACTATCGGTAACCATCATCACAGCATCATTAGACTGTTACAGATGAGTATCTTTAGGTCAGATTTGAATATCAGTGTCATTCCAGGTGTAAGCAGTGATTGTCCTGATTGAAGCTCTCGTTATGTGCATGAACTTTATTCAGGAAGTCTCGGGACGTGTGCTGTCTGTTGAATGGGAGTGAATGGGACTGTGATGGTTGGAAACACTCAGATCTATTGAAATGTCTTCAGTTGTGGTACATTTAAAAATAAATGACCTAAAATGTAGCATCAAATTATGCTTAAATCATCTCTGCAAAGCAGCCAATCATCAACCTTATGTACCTTTGCTTTTAGTAAGAAGACGCCGGCTTTCTGACCTCTGGTTTTAATTTGCTGTTAACATCAGCTAGGAGAGCAGAATTAAAGCTCTGGCTTATATCTGCTGTTTATTCAGCGCTCAGACTGATCTGATGAGTAAAATTAACCCGACTCGCTCTCTTGGTGCTCCTGAAATGCTTGAATGTTGCATCCAGAGTCATTGTTTATGTTTCCACATCCTCTGAATGAGACGCATGAAAAGAAAATTATTCTTTAAGATGATTTCAATCAAAATAATCTGTTTTTCCGCAGGTTCAGTCACGATGTGGCAGCAATGAGAACATACTGAGAGCCAGTGAGTTCAGTATGTGTTTCGTTTACCTTTAAAGCTCGAAAAAATAGTTTTCAGGTGTTTACAGGTGTGTGTGTGTGTGTGTGTGTGTGTGTGTGTGTGTGTACGCACTCATAGGCCACAGCGCAGTTGACATCAGTAAAGTGGCGCGTCGTCATCGCATGTCGCCGTTCCCGCTGACATCCATGGACAAAGCCTTCATCACTGTTCTCGAGATGACGCCTATTCTGGGAATTGAAGTCATTAACTACAGAGGTGAGTGTGTGTGTGCGCTGCTCTAACACAGGAGTATCGAGCCCTGCACGCCCACGTGTCCACTAACTGCTCCACCACAGAGCTGATGCTGCTGTGGTGATGGCATCTGATGGGAGAAGCATTTCAGCACCTGCACATTCTGTTTGAACCATGAATGTGTAAAAGGTTGCTCCACCTGTTTGACTTACGGAGGTTTTGGACCTGAAAGTCAATCCAGGTTGACGTCAGTCTGATCGGCTTTTCCCCGCTGTCGGTCAGCTCGTCCGGTCAGGACCGTAGCCGCTCTCCTCCGTCGTTCCTCCACAGGCCGCGAGAATCGCTCCTCCCACAGAGTTCAGATTGTAGTGAAACAATGAATTTGTCCTGGATGAGCCTCTGAGAAAGTCTTCTCTCTCTGCAGATGGTTTGGGTCGAGTTCTCGCTCAGGACATCTATGCCAAAGACAACCTTCCTCCGTTCCCCGCCTCTGTTAAAGACGGCTACGCTGTGCGAGGTGAGACTGTGGGCACCGCCTCAAACATCTGCGTTTTTTTTTACCTTTTATCTGTTGAACTGAAAGCTCTAACCGACTCATGTTTGACTCGTAGCTGCCGATGGCCCAGGAGATCGCTTCATCATGGGGGAATCGCAGGCTGGACAGCAGGTCGGCTCTCACACAGCAGCGTTGTGCATAACCATCATCTGTCAACCAGATTCTGTGGGAGACGCTGCTAACCTCAGCGTTATCTATGAGCGGGCTCATGGTACACACACCATGATCGGCACAGCGCGAGCCATGCTCAGACCGTTTAAGTTCACGTATGTGCAGAATGTAGATCAGGATCAGATTGATGCACATCACCGAGTTCATATCAGCAGTGAAGGCAGACAAGGGTCTTTAGAGCCACACGTGTCACAGAGCAGGAAGTCCTGGGAGTCGACCTCTGCAGCCAAACGCTGGCGGAATAACAGCTGCAGTTCCTCTAACGTCCACTTGAGGCTCCAGAATTTAGAAAACTTCTCATCTCCTCCTGATTACTGTGAATTTCAACCTTGACTAAAAGCCTTATTACCAGATGATGTCGTCGCTCTGTAAACTGTGCTTCTTGTGTTTTCAGCCCACCCACACAGTCATGCCAGGTCAGGTGATGAGGGTGACGACCGGGGCGCCGATTCCCTGCGGAGCTGACGCCGTGGTCCAAGTAGAAGACACGGAGCTGCTGAGGGAGTCTGAGGATGTAAGAACACCAGGATGAAGGTCGATGGCGCTGTGCGTGTGCCTGCTGGCTTTACTTCCTGTTCGTCTGTTACAGGGCACCGAGGAGCTGGAGGTGAGGATCATGGTCCAAGCCCGGCCCGGGCAGGACATCAGGTGAGAGAGGAACGCTTCTCAGGTCGTGGATGTCAAACGGGTGAAGGAGCAGCATAGACAATTTGGTGCTTTTGTGTCCACGCAGGCCGATCGGTCACGACATCAGGCGAGGGGAGTGCGTTCTGGCTAAAGGCACGCACATGGGCCCGTCTGAGATCGGCCTGCTCGCCACAGTGGGAGTGACCGAGGTCAGCGTGCACAAGTTCCCCGTGGTGGCCGTCATGTCCACCGGGAACGAGCTGCTGAACCCAGAGGATGACCTCCACCCGGGGAAGATCAGAGACTCCAACCGCTCCACTCTCCTCGCCACCATCCAGGAGCATGGATACCCGACCATCAACCTCGGCATCGTCGGAGACAAGTGAGCGCGTTTCCCCGCCTGTCGCTCCAGTCTGATCATTTCCTGTTCTGACATCTTAAAAAAGCTCCAGCCCCCAGCCCCCACCCCCCAGCACGGTGCAGTCAGGGTTTAATTTTTCATCCACCCTCTGAGGTCCACAGGTCCCTCAGTGGGAAATCTGAAATCTTCCACTCGAGTCCGACCTCAGTCTGTATCCTGAACTTCCTGTGACACCCGTGTGTCCTCTCTCTGCAGCCCTGACGACCTGCTGTCAGCTCTGCACGAGGGAATCAGCCGTGCTGATGTCATCATCACCTCAGGGGGTGTGTCCATGGGAGAGAAGGTACAGTAACTTCAGTAACTTAACTAACTTCAGGCCACGCCCACCTGCTGAGAGTCTCAGCTGCAGTACCAACTGCACGTTCGCTCAGGAAGTGAAGCAGGACTGGGTGGACTTCTTCGCCGCTGCTACAGGAGGTGTGTCTCTCTGTGGAGTGAGACCGCAGAGAGAGCCGAACGTGAAGGCGGAGCTGACGATTTACCGTCTTTCATCAGCTCTGACCACGAGCCGTCACTCCTAATCGAGCTGAGGGCCAGGTGAGGCAGCAGGTGGGCGTGGCCTAAAGTATCTCAGTGTAAAGCTCACTGATTGAGTGACGCACTGAGCAGATGTTCTGATCGTCAGTGTGCAGGAAACCTGACTGTGTGTGTGTCTGTGATCAGGACTACCTGAAACAGGTGCTGGATATCGACCTGCACGCACAGATTCACTTTGGCCGAGTCTTCATGAAGCCAGGGTAAGACAGAGCCGAGACTTCCTGCTTTAGTCCCAGAACTTAAGCACCACAGTCACACCTGTGTGAAATACCCGAGAGCTTAAAGCTTCAGGCGGCTGTTAATGAGCCTCACCTGTGGCTGCAATGTTAGTCTGTTCACTGAAGTCACAAATGTTTCTTCTGATAGCTGAAGGAGTTCCTCACTGCAGGTACTCGCAGTACTGCAGGTACACCTGACGGCTGATACCTCAGTCTCTGCCTCTGCTCACGCTGCTCTGTGTTTCTGTCCCTCAGTCTTCCCACTACCTTTGCCACAGTCGACATCGACGGGACACGAAAACTCATCTTCGCCCTGCCAGGTAACATATTAACCCTGCTGTGTAATTCACCTGCCTTTGAAGCGTCCTCGGGTCATCCCCACAGACGCCTGTGATCAGAGTCACGATTCCTGATTGTGGATCCCAAAGCGAAGCAGGAAGCTTGAGAGCGTCCTGAGCCCAGACTTTAACCTCCTGGAGACCAGAAAGCTTCAGTGCAGGCTGAACGTCAGCAGCCTCCACAGAGATGGGCTGAGAATTAGCAGTTACTACATGTACTTCACAGTACATGATTGTACTGTGAAGTACATGTAGTAAGGAAGGGAAAAAAATGAATACAAATCAACAGATGACGCAGACACTCTTTCAATGTTTCGTATTCGTTGCAGGCAGATACGTGCATCTTAAAATAACTCCTCACAGTAAGCTCCATAAATGTTCCAGCAGCGCCTCGTCGACACGAGTAACTCCAACCGACCACGTTTATGACATCATTCAGAGGCCGCTCGTAAATGCGCCACATCATGTTATCGAGCTTCTGCACCATCATCACACGTGGTCTGTTTATTGTTTCCAAGGTAACCCAGTGTCCGCTGTGGTGACGTGTAACCTGTTTGTGATTCCTGCTCTGAGGAAGATGCAAGGCATTCTGGATCCTCGACCTACAATTATCAAAGCGAGGGTAACACACACACACACTCTCTGAGGTCATGCTGTAACCCTGCCTGCAGGTCAAGGTGAACCGAGTGTTTGATGCATCGCTCGGGTTACATAACACAGTTATTGTTGATGAAAGTCTGCTGATGCCACTGTTCTTCTCTTCAGCTCTCCTGTGACGTTAAGCTGGACCCCCGGCCTGAGTACCACCGCTGCATTCTCACCTGGCATCACCAGGAGCCGCTGCCCTGGGCTCAGAGCACAGGTGAGTGCGCACACACACGGTGATGGTGTGTACCGTCAGTCATTGGTGTCTAAGCGTTGCTTCCTGTTTCCTCCTCGCCGCGGTAAACTCTGGCCTCTTCTCGTCCACACGATTAACTTTATTGATCACATCATGGAACCGTCATAAAGATGTTGCACACGTTCATACAGCATCGCACTGTTCAGCTTCCTCACTGCACTTGGCCCAAATGAGCCGTTACACTTGTGTCCTGTAGCGCCGCCCTCAGAGCTTTACATCAGCTCGTCCAATCAGTTTTGTCGACGGTGCTGAGCGGTTTGTCTGCTCTGAGTCCAGCTCACGGATACTCGCTCCAAAGTCTCTGAACCTGCCAACGAGGACTCATCTCCAACCGGCTTTCTTGGAGACGGAATCGACGTTTTCTCCTAAATTCATCGTGCGTGTTCCCAGATACCCGAGGCTTCCACAGGGCGTCCAGTGACGCGCCGTCGCAGGCCCATCCATCACGCTGGCTCTGTGGTCGACATCAGTCAGCTGATTTACGTCAGAGGTGTCGTAAACGAGCCTCTTAAATGTTGTTCTAACCGCTGCCTCGGTCAGCATCCTGTCAGTCATCTCACTTGGGTAACGCGACTGACCACACCCCTCCTCCCTGCAGGTAACCAGGTGTCCAGCAGGCTGATGTCCATGCGCAGCGCCAACGGCCTGCTGATGCTGCCCCCTAAAACAGAGCAGTACGTGGAGCTGCACAAGGGAGAGGTCGTAGACGTCATGGTCATCGGACGGCTATGATGCAGGTACGGCGGCTCCACGGACGCACTGAGCACGTGCGAAGCGTGTGCTTTCTGTTAACACTTCTTTTTCTCTCCAGACTGAAACGTCACTCGCTACCGATTACCATGGCAACGCCAGGACTTCTTGTCTGCACAGGAAACAGCCGGGGTGGGGGGTGGGAAGTGGTGCATGTCTACCTGGTCGCCATTAGCTGTGATGTCATATGCAACAGCCAATTGGAGCCAGCGCAGGCTGAGTCCTCATTGGTCTGCTCTGAGGAGATCACTGTATTTCAAAGGAGAAAAAAAATGTGAAAAAATATACGAAATATGAGATTTATTCTGTAATATTATTATTATCCTGATGATAATGATTATTAATATTCTTAATTAATATTCTATTTATTATTATTATCATGGTTCTGACTGAATATCATCATCTTAGTAGTATTCATGCCCTCTTCTCTCCTCTTCATTTGCTTTGTGCGTTTTTCCCGGGTAGATTAGAGACATAGAGACCCTCCTCCTCCTTTTTCTACCCTTGCTCTGCTCTGGCGTCCTCTCTCCTGCTATAGAAACCTGCCGTTTCACTACGTCTCCTCCTGGATCACACAGACTCCAACATCAGCAAAACACGGCTGATGAAGACGTCCTCCGAGTGAACCTGCTTACGTTGTTTGTGCCACTGAATATTTTCTGCCAAACAACGAAAAAGAAAAGAGAACAAGCTGCAGGCGTCCTCTGGTGTTCCTTTTTTACCTTTCTGCAGATTCAACCCTCTCAAACATCTGGAGACATCTCAGCGAAGCCATGAAATCGTCCTCGGTGGGTCAGCGGCTCGTCTTTGGGGCGCCGAGCGATTTCTCCGCTCCGATATAAATGCGATAAAGACGTCTCTGATCGCGGTCGTATCAAGGCTGCGCCACACTGGCGGTTCAGTCCAACCCTGCGTTCAAGTGGTGTTCGACCAGAGTGTGACGTTTATGTTAAGGTAGCTCCAGAATCTCTGGGCTCACCTGGAGTGTCGGGCGCGATTACATGATTACTCCACATTTGCGTCTGGAGCTCTGGGTGTGGGATTTGTCCTTTCACTCGCTCTGATCAGGCTGTCCAATCGGGAGTCTTTATTCAGATTTTTACCCACGACCGCACGTGCAGGAACTGACCGATTTGGCAAGTTCGGAGAACAGATGCGATTCCCGGTTTTCCCATCTGCTTGCATCACTTGAAGGCAGGGTGTCACATTCAGGTGCTTGTAACTACACCACGTGTATTTTTGCCATGACGGTGTTAAGGTGCTCGTTATGGTCGGTTCAAGGCTGTAAATCAAAACGTCATCTGACCGCCGTTCTCTCCGCGTACTGTATGAGCGTGCAGAAACCCTCCTTTGACAGTTCGCCCACTACAAACGCAGAAGCATCCGAGCTGCTCGCCGTAGATCCTGCTAAAAAATGTTTACCGGTTACCAACAACCAGAAGCGTCCTGTGAGATCTGAGAGCCCCAACGCAAACCGCCCACTTCCTCTCATCCTTCCCGTTGAACCGGTTTTCCTGCAGCGCGGTGTGTGATGTGTAATCTAGAGCCAGCTCATATTTACCCAAGTTTCCCAAAGTCCATGTTGGTGGTAAAATGGGAATACGGTTCTTCCTGCTTTGACCCGTTTTCCACCGATGTGGTACCGGGGTGCTACTTCATCAGATCTTAACCAATAAAAAGTGCCACAAAACCACTGGCACCTCAAAATCAGCGGTCCCAAAGCGCCCGTTTCTGATGCTTGGCATTCCGGCCTGTGAGACAGAGTCTGGTTTGCTGCATCCACACCAACAGCTCTGCTTTGGAAATCAGGTGGACAACTCATCCTGTTACGACCTTTTTCCAACAACTCAGTGCCGCTGCCTCACCCAGACCCCGGTCCTTTCTGGGTTGTCCCGTGGTTGGATTCGTGGATCAATGGTGGGAGTGGGAACTGCACGAAATTTCTCTTCTTACTACAGACGTTACCCTGGCTCGTGCTACCTAATGTTCTGGCACTGCGTTTGTGGGGAAAAAGGATCCGATTCTTCCTGTTGGGACTTCTTTTCCACTGGTGTGGTACTGCTGCTAAATCTAGAAGCAGGTTATTGACTTTGCACTGAAATGACGGTTTCCCAAACATTGTAGCCCACAGTTGGACTCAGAGAGGTTACCACTGATTGGCCGAGGCAGCTCACAGCGGTGCTTGGTTCTCAGCCTGTTCTGGGAGAGAACCCAGGCAGAACCAGCTCTGTAACTTCTTCCTGTGAGGCTCTTCACCTCCACTCTCAAAACCAACCAAGAGCCGGCACCACGTCAATGGAAAACCTGAGTTAAATATGGTCAACCAAACCCACAGGTCAAAGGTCAGGCGCTGCATTCAGGTCATACTGGAGTAACTGCTCTGTCTGATTTTAACAGTACCGACACGGCGTCCTGAATGCAGCGTGGCTCATTGTTCTGAATTCCCCCCCCTTCTTGTCACACCTGCATGCCCATAAAAAAGGGGGCGTGTCTTTCCTCTTTGGGCAGGTGTGATTCCAGGCGTTAGAGTGTGGTGCAGCACCTGGGCGGGGCTTCTGATCTGACTAAACGTGACGCTGATGCTCTGGTGCCAACACTATCTTTAAGTCCTCTGGCTTGGTTTCCAGAAACTTCCCAGTTACCTCAAATGCACCGTATATATACAGCATATATGAGTGGCTCGTGCTGCGTCCGTGTCACATGGGAATGGCGTGATGATGTTTGGCTGTTCGTTCAAAGAAATTCCTAAAATAGTAAATAATGCTTGCCGTTCGGCAGCTCGCGTTTACGGCAGCTCACTTACGACACAAACGCAGCATCAGCGCGCGTCCTGCCGCCTGCCCAAGGAGGACCAATCAAACCCAGATAGATCCATCAGAGCGAGCAGAAGCAGGTTGTTGAGAAACTGCCTTTGTACCGAGTGATTCGTAACACTGGGCTGAACTCAGTGTCACACTGCACACACTATAAACTATGACCAGCACTTGTAATGAAGCAATGACACAGCATTCTACTACTACTGTATAAATATGATGAAGAGGATGTTTTTCTGTAATATTATTGAACCTGAAGATGAATTAATAAAAATAATCCTGATTATTCTGTAACTGCTGTTCGGCTCGCTCGCTTCATTCATAACAGCACTTGTCTGAGAGCGCTTCACGCTGTCAGGGACGGTAAACGTCACATCTTGTCAGTGTGAAGAGCTTTAACTGCACATTTAATCCCTCAAATAATTTAATCTGAGAGAAAAGCGCTGTTTTTCTATATGATAACACAATGCTGATGTAGGAAATGAAAGACCTCTGTCAGGTGTAGACTTAAAGAAACAGCTCTGGTCGCTCATTTCCCAGATTCGCAGTAATTATAAATAAAGTTTTGCAATAAATTATGAAGAAATGTGAACTTTTCAGATAAACCATTATTAGTCCCACATGTATGAAATTTGTTTTTTTCAGAACATTAAAAATGTTATTATGATGAAATATTTAAAAATAAGAATTTTTCTTAGATTCTTTTCCCATAATATTACCTTTTTTTATAAATAATGAGTACTTCAGGCTTCCATACTGCATGTTTAAAGGCAGGTAGGAACCATCCAGCAGGAACCTTTTGTTGCTGCGCTCGTTCTCCTCACCTGAACATTCGTCACATTTTTCTCTCAAATATAAATTTTTATTCGTGTTTTGAGTTTAATAAAATTATTGATTTTAATAACTGAATATTAAGCTTAGTTTTAGCCTCATGTTGAACGTGTTTATTTTTTTAATTTACATGAAAAATCGCAAAAATATCGGAGAGAATCTGCTGCTCTGTGCGCATGCGTCCTTCAGTCCGTCACTCGGAGGTTCCCCTCAGGCAGCTCGGAGCTCTGGTGAAAAACTGTCCTCCTGCTGCTGTAAAGGGAAACTGAGCGCTGCTGCTCGGGAGGCTGAAGAAGAACATCTCCAGGAGAACAGAGGGACCCTCATCAGAGGGCGGGAACAAGGCGCTAACCGGGCTAGCAGTTAGCAGCAGCAGTCCGTTTAAAGTGCTGTTTTATCAGGTAGGTTTGTTCATCATGTCACTAAATCCCGGGTAACTTCTGCTATCTGAAGCGTTACTAAACCAGCCAACCTAAGCTGAACGGTACACCTGTAAGGTCACATTGAAAGAATAACACGTGAGCGCCGGAGGAGCTTTAAAAGAGGCGGACCACGAAGTG